AAAAGAAAATGTTTTCAGTTATGTTTCCCTTGGAATTTAAACCTCTTAGTCACTTACATCATAACTACTATTTAAATTCCCTTCAGAAATTGCCAGTTCTACTAATAACCCACTACTATTATGGACTGTTGGACTATATTGGCTTATTTTGCTGAATTCAGGTACCTACAATATTTGACCTGGCATCAAACATGAAAAGGTCCTTTAAAGACTTCTCCAAATACAGCTTCCGTAACAGCAGTGGAATACCCACCTCTGACAAAACAGAACAGAAAAGGGACATATAAATGAAGGACCATTTTTCAGTGGGAAAAAAAAAATATGTGTGTGTGTGTGTGTGTACATATGAAATAGTTAGGATGGATATACAACTACTTTCTCTTAGCTCAATGAAAAGGAAGATTTGTACTAATATTGCTTAGACAAGATATCATGTCTGCATCTTGTCCTCTGAAAAACTACTACGAAGACAATATGCAATGTATTAATTATTGAAACTGTCCTAACCTGCTTTGAAACTGTCTCATTGTTATTTTTTCTCATTAAAATTAATAAAAAATAAATATAAATAAAATAAAAGAAATTCCCTTCAGAGACACAGAATAACTGTATGATTTTTGAAGTAAAAGTGTAGGCTAAGTTTGGGGCGAGCACTCTGCACGCAGTCGCGCCTTACCTCGCTCCCCTCTGCTCAGCTGGGTTCATCTTCCGTCCCTGAGCGCGCCCCGAGCACACCCGGTACTTGCACACCCTGTACCCCGCCTGCTTCCCTCTGCAGGAGCCCCCACCACCCTGTCCATCTGTGCTGAGAGCCACAGGGGGTTAGAAGCAGGCACCGCAGAGCCAGATGACAACTTGGGTTTAATCCCAGGGCTACTCCTTACCTGCAGGTCATCGTAAGCCAGTGACATTAGCTTTCTGGGCTCTGTTCTGTCATCTTTGAAAAAGGGTATTTTTACAGCTACTTCATGGCTAAGAGGATTAAGTGAGGAGTCCACCCTGTAATCCTAGCTCTCTGGGAGGCTGACTCAGGAGGATCACAAATTCGAGCTGAGTGACTAAGCAAGACCCTGGCTCAGATAAAAACTAAAAGAGGTCTGGGGCTGTAGCTCAGTGTGAAGGCCCTGGGTGAAATCCCTACTAGCACCAGAAAAAGAAAAATAATTGAATGAATGAATGCCTGTAAAATATTTAGAACAATTTCTGGCACATACGTTATATAAATTCAAGCTTTTATTATCATGATTTTTTTTTTTTTAGTATGTCTTCAAGTAGTCCTGGAGTTCTTCTCTCTTTTTTGTTTGTTTTTGTTTTTTGGTGGATCCAGGGATTGAACTCGGGCCCTTGCACTTGCCAGGAAAGTGCTTATTCCACTGAGCTATCTCCCTGGCCCAGTCCTGGAGTTCTTTGAGGCTAATAACTGTATGTT